GAGGAGGAGAGATGCGGGGCGCTGTCGTTCAAAACGACGTCCCAGCACCTTAGGATGGTTGGGGAAACATATACCCCCGATAGAAGGGCTCTGAGGGGGGCTATGCGTTGGGCGCCTCCTGAGACATCCTGGGGTCTCATGAGCACCTCCCAGGTGCCTCCCTGGTGCCTCTGTGCCTCTCTGTGCTTCTCTGTGCCTCCTTTGCGTGCCTCCCTGTGCCTTCTCCATCCCTCCTTCCTCTCCCTCTCCGTCCTCCCTCCCTCCTCATCCTCCTCTCTCCCTCGCTTCCTCCCTCCCTCCCCCCCTCCCCTTCACTTCCCTCCTCTCCCCTCCCCTCTCCCGTGTGCCTTCCCCCGTTTTGGTAGCAACTCGCGGAAGAAGCCTCGTATGCCCTCGGAATTCCGTCCTCGGGGCGTACAAGCGTGCACTAGCGTGTGGTAGTCGATGAGCGAGCGTCGATTTAGCGTCGACTCAGAGTCGATTGCCTGCGATTGGAGTTGGTTAGCGTCGATTTGCATGAGATAGCAAGATGACACGGGAGGTCCCCCATGAGTTGCCACAGAACCCCCCCGCCCCCTCCGCGTCCAACCCCGCCCTCCCGTGCCAGGGCATCCCTCGGTGGGTCCCAGAGCCGATTCCGTGAGGATTCTCCATGCGAGAGCGCTGTTATAGTTGATTCCGATTTCAAGCTGGGCTGGGGCCTTGTTTCCAGCGTCAGGGAGCGCACTTGCCAGCATCATTTCCTCGCCCGCTGGGGGTCATGCTGAGTTGACTTCCACAAGACTCCCCATCATTAATGCGCCTTTGTCGTGTGCGTCTTGGCTGCTTCTCATCATGCATAATTCGCCTGCCCCTCGCTTGCTGGAGAGGTCACAATTACTACTGGCTGAGGAAGTGCGCCTGAGGCTGCCTTCTTGGACGGCCGAGGTGCACGAGAGAAGGAGAGACGGATGAAATGCAGGTGTGCACCGCATAGGGTGAGTCACCGCTGCCCAGTCCTTTTGGAAACGCATGTGTCGTGAAATCGGCAGCGAGCGGGACGCCTTGGCAATTTGACACCTGGCCCTCTCATCAATCGTCAGTCCTCCGGACTGAGGACGGAGGGCTCAACGGACCTGAGTACACTTCACTTAGTGTTTCGAGACACGGTGGCGGATTTTATACAGCATGTACATACATACATATGTATACACATGTGTGTATAAGGAGAAACATAAATATTGGGGGGGGGAGAGAGCGAGAGAGAGAGAGAGAGAGCGAGAAAGAGTTAACGAGAGAGAGAGAGAGGGAGAGACATAGAGAGGGAGAGAGAGGGAGAGGGAGAGGAAGAGGGATCCTTCAATGATATTCGCACATAGCGATACTGACAGAGATAATGAGAGAGAGAGAGAGAGAGGCAGAGAGGCGTATTGATGCAGGCAGACGCAGAGCGAGAGAGAGAGAAACAAGAGTCAGAGAGAGAGAGAAACACGAGTCAGAGAGAGAGAGAGAGAGAACGAGACAGGCAAACAGATAGGCAAAGAGATGGTAGAAGGAGAAGTATCGGAGCAGTGGGAGTACCAGCGAGGAGCGGGCCACGAAAGGTACCGACCCTCTTTTCCTACCCGCGCTTGCTGCAGACCACGTCCGGACTTCTGATTCCGCTGCCCCCTGCTGCTGCCGCGGTCTTGGCAGTGCAGCCTGCTCGCGAGCTAACCTGCTGCGTCGCGATGCTCCGATTGGACACCACTTGCATGCAGCACGGATCTCTGCTGCCAAAACGCATTGGCATGCGGACAATTATGGCAGTGAAGATGGCGCGCCCCTCGATGCCCGTCGTTGCAGAGAGTTGGAGCCAGTACGCCAATTCAGACACTCCCCTCTGCGGGCAGGTTTCCTCTACCCCGGCCCAGCCTCATAGGAGGCGCTGCTGGATGGCGCCCCTGCTGGACACCAGGAGTGGGAAGCCGATCATCGCAGGCTTGATGAGTGATAGACAACAGATCGCTTCGAGAGGGCAACGCACCGAATCATGAAGTACTTGGTCTTACGATGGTCGTCAGCGGTTGGCGACTACCTCTCCACGTTTTTTTTTGTATGTTGGACACTTCCTCGAATCGGCATGCGCGACGTATTCTCGGGCCCGGCCGACATGAAATGGTGAAGCTGCATTTGCTTGCTGTCCTCTGATTTCTAGTCTGGTTCGGCGCCACGCTCGGTCCTGGCCGTATCCTTCGGCTTGCCGTAGATCCTCTCCCCTCCCCCTAACGGGCTGGCTCGTCACCTCGCGGAGCACATGGCGATGGGCACTTCCTCTCCGCGCAGGCGTGCTCTTCGTGAAGAGGCAGGCGAATCCTCTCCTCGGCTGCCTCATGTCTGCAGGGCAGGCGTGTTCCCTTCCTCGGCGAGCACTGGCGAGCAGCAGCAGCAGCGCCCTGGTCGGTTCTCGGCCTCCACTGCTGCCATCCGATCGAACGCGCCATTAGCTTGGGCAGCTGTCGACTCTTGCAAGGGATTCTCGACCCTCAGGGCTCCCCTCCGGATCTTCTCTCCTCCGGCCATGGTGCAGCCTTGTCAGGACGGTCCTTAAGAGCGCCGCAGAGGTCGGCTGCAATGATGGTGGTTGTGCTGGCGGAGGTAGTGATACAGCTGGTTGATTGGCAGTAATTGTAGCTGATTGATGGTCGTGGGTAGGTTGGTCGTAGTTCTAGTTTATGATAGCGGTGTCGGTGGTGATTTTACTGGCTAGTCGAGACATCAAATGATGTGGCGAGCACGTCACCGCTAACTTGGCGATCAAGGTGGTGCAGACTGGTGCGAGGAGTGCTGGTATTCTGTGCTGTGGTCGCAGTATTCGTGCGAGAGGTTGTTGTTGGTTGTGGTAGTGGCAGCGGTGTCGACAGCGGGTGGCGGCGGTGGCGGCGTTGGTGGCTGTGGGCTTGGCTTCGCCCACCTGTACCAAAGGAGCTGCGCAGCCGTCGCCTCTCCTGTTGCACTCAGGCGGCACCCTGCTCTCCTCTGCAGACGCGGTGGGGCCTCCGTGCGAATATTTATGAATGTCCTGGAGGCGACGACAAGGGCGAAGAGCCCAGGGGGGAGCAATGCATGCCTTCGTCGAGGCTCCATGGGGAATGTGTGGAGTGCCCGCCCCTGGGCTATCGCCCCCTATCGTGGCCTCCGAATGTCGCACAGGCGCGCGCATGCTCCGACGCCTAGCAGGGGCTCTGAATACTGGTTGTCACGAGGGGGACCGGGGCACCCGGAAGGACGGACGATCCGAGCTTCGTGACAGGGGCTGTTGGAGGGGCCTCGTGCCCAGACGACGTCGAAGGCGTCGGCTCAAGGCAGCCGAGCCTTTCGAGCTCCAGTCTCCCTCGTGCCAAATAATTGTCGGGGCCCTTGACTCGACACGAGCAGGGTTTTACCCGATGGTTTGCCGAGGGCTCGCAGCAGGATCAGCTGGCGTTCTTCGGGAAGCCTTGCTTCGGCGCTAGGGACTTTTCAAACCATTCCTCCCTCTGTGGACCCATACTTCTGCTTCCACGTCCGTTTTCATCTTTCTCAAGTTCCTTCTTCCTCTCGCTTCATTTCGGAGGCTCACGCCAGTACACTGGCTCCCTGCGTCAGGGACTCCCACAACACAGTGTTGATGCTACTGAGAAGGGGACGCACAACAGTACACAAATCTCGGATCCATTGCTCGCGTGGTTCCATGCAGTGCTGTGTGGCGTCGTTCCGTGTGGTGCCTGGCTGGAAGCGTTGTTCGAGTGGTATCGTGTGGTGACATGTCTAAGTCGTTGACCGTGTGGGGCCGTGTGGGCCCTGTGTCGCTGTGTGTGGGGTTAGTCTTCTATCCAACGCCCACGTGGTGATATTGTGGTCAAAGTGGTTTCCATTGAGACGCGCAAGTCCCAGCACGGTGAAGAGTCGAGCCTCTCTGCCCCTCTGTCGCACAGCAGAGAATAGTACAGCAGGGAAATCCGGTCTTAGGTAACGTGATGATCGTGCACAGGTGCAGTCAGCAATAGAGGTTTCGTGACAATCTCGTGCCCGTTTCAGTGCTGATATCCCTCGCGCGTGCAAGATCCAATGTAGGAATTCCAGCGGTTCCTCACTCCCGTGGAACACCTACCCTATGAAATGGGATAGCTCCCGTGGAACACTTATCCCATGAAGTGGGATAGCTCCTAGGTAAGACTTGCAAGGCCTTATCTCGGTTCAAAGGGGCTGATTGACTTCAGCTCGAATGCCAGAGGAACGGCGTCCCGATACCGCAATCCCACGTTTCGAGAATCGATTGTGTACGACCATCGATTCGCTGATTCGTGATAAGCTGCATTGCCATACAGAAGAGGCGAGCCCTATCCTGTACCAGTCAACATCGCCAACACACATCTAGAAGCAGTTGCAATGGAGACCTGGGCTGATGGTGCTGTCTAGGATTGTCTTTCAGATTAGGCCTAATGGAGGGGTCCACACTTCCTTCGACATCTATGATTCCAATTACAGTATGGCCTCTGGATGCCCTCATGGGGGACCTCTTGAGCCGGCTTGTCGCCATTTTGGACCGTCTTCGGGCCCTCGTGGACCAGCTCGGCGCCCTTTCTGGGCCGTCTTGGAGCCACCTTGAGCCGTCTTGAAGCCATGTTGAGGCTCAAGGTTCAATTCGATAAGTTCTCATGTCGCAGGGAAGGGGAAGGACCAACCGAGGTGGGCTGATGTGGCGTAGCGCCTGAGGGGGTATAAACGGTGGGTCCTTGAGTAGTGAGAATAATATCCACGATCGACTGCCTGCTAGCGCTCACGGCCTACCTTTGGCATTTTGGGCGTACGCCGCATCCGCCGACACCTTGGGGGACAGGGTGCTCGTCTTTGGGTATGGCGCGGGGGCTTCCATGGGCCGCCTTGGTTCCACAGGTATCAGGGTAATCTGAGGTTTCTCGGGTGCTTTTCTCGGCTCATGGTCCTCATGGGGGCGCGTTGGGTGTCTTGAGAGAAGGAGGCGTGACTAGGAGATGGTATGAGGAGGAGGAGAAGGAGGAGGAGGAGGAGGAAGAGGAGGAGGAGGAGGAGGAGTTGCAGCAGAAGGAGGAGCAGGAGGAGGAGGAGGAGGAGGAGGAGGAGGAGGTGCTTGCGCTCTCGGGGCGCGGCGGGGCGTGCCGGGCGTCGTAGGGCCCGTCGTGTGGCTCCGTGCAGGGACTGTTTCGGAGGCGTCGTGGGAGCATCTCGGAAACATGTTTGGGCCGCCTTGATCTGGACACCCGAGATGGGTACGGAAAGAATGGGTACAATGCCCAACAGCAGTTCCTGTTCATCTTGAACAGGATTCGCTATCCACGCCGCCGCGGCCTGCGTCCACTCGAGACAGAAGGCCGCCTGCCCAACAGCGGCCGCTGTTGGTTTGGGACAACATTTGTTGTTGGGCATTGTACCCATTCTTTCCGTACCCATTTCGGGCGTCCAAATTTGAGGGCGTCTTGGGCGCTTCTGGGCTGTCAGGAGCTCAGGGGCCCCTCCTGTGTCGTCGTGGGCTCGCCTCGGGTCGGCCGGGGCCTTCGTGGGCCGCCTGGGACTGCGCCGCGGTCCCTCCGGGGGAGTCTTTTGGCCCCTCTTGGGCTGTCCTGGCACCTGAGCTCGTCTTGGGCCACTTTCGGGGCCCCTTTGGCCTGTCTCGTGGCGCTCTTGGGGGCCTTGATGACCGTCGTGGATGCCCCCTAGTCAGAAAACACAGTACAGTCAACCCGCATAGTAAGGATGGACAATGTTCACAGGGGTACCCTTGCATCTTTGCCTCCTCGGACCATCCTCGGTCACTTTCGTTGGCCGCGCCCCGCCCGAAAAGCTTCGAAACGGCCCTCCAAGGCCCTTGTATTCTTATCGTGCACCCTTATGATACGGGTCGACTGTATGCAACAACCATGCTTTTGGGCCGTTCTTGGGGAGATGTTCGGCCACATCGTGCCGCTCTTCTCCAACATCAGAGAGTTTGTGTGGGTGTGTTGGGGCGTGGAGGGGTACCTCGAGCGGTCTTGGGGGCGTATTGGGTCCTCTCGTCCACAAAGTGCGAAGATTGGTCGACTTGCAGGGGTTGGGAGGCCATCAGGAGCAATATGGAGCCATTCTGGCCGGTCTGGGAGCATGTGTGAAGGAGATGCCTTCCCGGCCCCCCTGGCACCGTCAGCTCGGACGGGACCCCCCCTGCCAAAAGTATTCGGCGGGGCTCCCGAGGGAGGGGCTTGGGGGCTCCTTGGGGGATCGGGCGAATTATGAATTTCCCGAACGCGGTTTATTTATCATAGTCCCCCATTCTATTGGAGTGATAAGTCGTTGTCCGAGGCACGATGCCATTTTGAATTCTAAACGTGAGCACCGCTATCTGAGCCTGTGAGCACCACTCCGATTCTGAGCGCAACGCAGCCTGTGAGCATCACGTTTCCTGTAAGTATCACAGCGCACGTTAGCGCTTCAGGTCCTGCGGGTAGCCCTGGGCTTGTGCGCACCACCGCGCCTATCAGCACCAGAAGCCACCAGTTAACGCAGGGCTTGTGAGCACCATTCGCGCGTCAACACCTTGTCTATCACTGCTTCTCCCACTTTGCTGACGGCCCCCCTCCCGGCGCCGTGAACTCGACAATTCTATCCCCACCAGCCCATCCACAAACGATGCCCAGGCGAGTTGCCTTGATCAGGGAAGCGAAGGAGCATGCAATGGATCAAGAGCTGGGGAAGCCGTCAAACTGAAGTCTCGGATCAGCCTTCGCAGACCCAGGAGCGAGCAGTATGCGCCTTTGCGGACCTTCCGAATGAGAAAAGGCGGGGAAGAAGGACCAGGGGGATGATGGAGAGGAGGAGGAGGACAAGAAGGAGGAGGAGGAGGAGGAGGAGGAAGAGGAGGAGGAGAAGGAGGAGGGGAAGGGATGGGAGGAGGAGGGAGGGCGAGGGATAGGCGGATGAAGAGGAGGAGGAGGAGGAGGAGGAGGAGGAGGAGGAGGAGAGGAGGAGGAGAGGTGGAGGAGAAGGATGAGGAGGAGGAGGAGGAGGAGGAGGAGGAGAAGGAGGAGGAGGAGGGGAGGAGGAGGAGGAGGAGGAGGAGAGGAGGAGGAGGAGGAGGACGAGGAGGAGGACAAGGCCGAGCTTTGGGGCTTCTTGGGGCGTCTTGGAGGGTCTTGGCGGTTTCGGGGGCCCCTTGCGTACCTCGGGGAGCCTCTTTGGCGCTCTTGGGGCGCTCTTGGGCGCTCTTGGGGCCCTCTTGAGGCTCTCTCAGGCTTCTCTTGGGGCTCTCCGGAGCGCTCTTGGAGCTGTCATGAGGCCTCGGAAGGCCATCGAAAGCAAAAGGCGAGTATGCGTCATTCATTGATTTTCCTAAGGTTTTGAAGGATTGTTACCTCTTTGCGGCCTCCGTGAGACGCTCCGCGTCTTGGAACGGTCGTGGAGCCTCTTGGAGCATCTTCGGAGCCATCTTGAGGCATCTCGGGCTCTATGCGTCATTCATTGATTTTCCTAAGGTTTTGAAGGATTGTTACCTCTTTGCGGCCTCCGTGAGACGCTCCGCGTCTTGGAACGGTCGTGGAGCCTCTTGGAGCATCTTCGGAGCCATCTTGAGGCATCTCGGGCTCTTTTGTTGTGCCATCTTGGAGGTCATCTTGAGCTATCTGAGGCCCTCTTGGAGCCGTCTTGGGCATCTTAGATGCTCAGACCGCTTGCGGGGCGCCCCGTCCAGATCCAGGGTAGGGGTAGGGGAAGGGGTCAAACTACCCACCCGTCCGCAAGCCATCTAGCTCACTCCCACCCGCCTTCCCAACACATGAGTAACACCCGAGCCTGAGCATGTTCAGCGGTCGTCTTTGGATGGACAGCTGCTGGGAACCAAAGCCGACCCCAGGTGCGCGACGCTTGGGCGAGGTGCGCCACGCGCGCCAGGCCCCCCCTGGGGCCCGAGCGTTCCAGGCACGCCTGGTGCGCCAGATGCGCCACGTGCTCTGTGTGCGCCAGGTGTGCCTCACATTCCAGTCGCGCCAGGTGCGCCACGTTCGGGGCACGTGCAGAGTGCGTCAGGTGCGCCTGCGCACGTGGCAGCACACGTTCGGAAACATGTTGGCCCCCACCATCCTTGTCGAAAACCAATGTCCATCATTGTGTCTGATTGGCCTGCGCACAGCTGGCCACGCGCTACCACCCCCGCCGTGCCTGTCAACAACCACTTGACAGTGATCGCGGGGTGGCCGCGCATGATCCAGATTTACCCGCGAGGTGCATTTTGTATTGTTTTTTTGTCAGGAATGGTAGCCCTGCGCGCAGCAGGGAATATGTTGACACCCCCGCCGTCCTTGTCAAAAACACTACAAAGTGCTCGCGGGCCTCACGAACAGGACTCAAGATTTTGCCCCAAAGTGCACCTTGTATTGTTTTTTGACAGGGATGGTGGGGGGTCCGCATCGGGTTGGCCGCGCATGTTCTAAATGTGGATGCTTAGTGCGTTTTGTATTCTTTTTTGACAGGGATGGTGGGGGGTGGCCCTCATGAGGTTGGCATGGGTGGGGGAGGGGGGTTATATCAATTGGGAACAATGCTAAACCCCTCCCCGAAGGTGAAAAAGGGGGTTGGAAGAGAAGACTTCCTAGACCACCTACGCCCAGAAGGCTGGTGGGGTTCTTCCGATTTCTGAGTACGACGAGAGAAGCTGAAACGTTAATGATCATTCAGTGCTCTGTGTCGGGACAAGGCCACTTCGGGACCGCATTGGGGGCTCAGGGAGCGATATGCGGCAGATTATGGGGGACAGCGCCGGTCAGTGCGAGTGTGGTCAGTGGAGTTCACCCGCCTGCTCCTGAAGGCGCCATCCTTCCACACACCTCCCCGCTGCTCGCATCTCCCCCCTCTCCGTCAGGTGGGCGGCGTAGGTGCTTGCTTGTTTTGGGGTACCCTGCACCCGACGCCGGTGGGCACCCGAGCTGCTCGGCGCCCTTCGCACGCTGCCTCTGCCCGTGGCCCGAGCGGGGCGTCGCGAACGGCTGGGGTGCACAGAGACGGCGCAGTCAGCGAAGTGACGGGTGATGGGCGGGCCTGTTTTCCACCACCACCACCACCATAAGTTGGAGGGGGGAAGGAGTTGGAGGAGGAGGAGGAGGAGGAGGAGGAGGAGGAGGAGGAGGAGGGCGAGGACCCCCTCCCTCTCCTACTTATAGTGGTGGCGGTAGAAAACAGACCCACCAATGGGGGTGCGCGCGCCGCCGTTCGCAGTCAGGAGGGAGGCTTGCCTCCCAGGGGTGGGGGGCACCGTCTCGGAGCTGCAGGCCAGGGCGGCTGATCTCTTGAGCAAGTCCAGGGAGGCAACCGGCACGCAAATACATGCCCTTGCAGCTCTATCGTGATTTCTCGGCATGGCGCCTCAGACAGCTCCAGGTGGGCTTCACAGGGCACGAACACAGCCTCAGCAGGCCCCTAAGGCGCATCCAATGTAGCCCAGGACGTCCTCAGAGAGCCCGAAGGACGGCCTGAGAAAAGACGGTCCAAGACCGCCGCAAGGCAGCTGCGTGAAGCATTCAGAGCTCACGATGTTTTCTTTGTCGCCTGTTGGAAGATCGTGGCCGAGCCTCGCCCGCCTCCGCCTGTATGGTTCATTTCCTTCCGAGATCGGGAACGCACCCCTCCCAGCAAGCCAGGCGTCCTGCACAAGATCGCCCGCGCCCCCGGAACCCGATGGCTGCCTTCTCGAGGCTCGCGGCTGGAGGGCGCGAGAGCCAGCACGGCGGCGCGCAGAGCCCCGAGACCCACCAGCTCGTGGGGCCCACACCAGGCACGGTCTCGCGAAGCGCGGTGATCTGGGCGCGCCGGGTCGAGAGCGTCCTTGGGAACGTACCGCTCCCCAGACCGGGCAGCGCGCCCGAGGGGACGCGCGAGAGGGCGGGCCCTCTCGGAAGGTGGCCGAGCGCCGAGCCTTCTGAAGAAGGCCCGCCCCCGCCTGCCCCGCTCGGCTCGCCGCCGACGAGCAGTGCGTGCACTGGCGGCTTCTTACGTGAGGGACGCAAGAAAAAGGGGGGTCGTCTGCGCCGACATCGGCGCGTAGGCTGCCCGCGTAAGGTCGCGCGTAGGCGCCCTCGTCTCCACTGTGGCGTGCCGCGCTGGCGGCCCGCGTGAGCTGCGGCGTGAGGTCGCTACGTCATCTCGCGTAAGACCCGCTTTTGATCGTCGCCCACGTGTCTTTTGAAGTCATCGGTCTGCGTTTCCGAGTCTTTTCGCCCAGTGGCCGCCAGTGGCCGCCTCGTGGCCGCGCCGTGCGGTGGCTGGCGTTTCCCGGCTGTCGCCCGTGGGCCGCCCGTGGCCGCCTCGCAGCTTGGGCGCCGGCGGACGGCGATTGGATTGCTCGGGGACGCTTCGCCCCCCTCCCCATCCTCGGGAAGGGGAGGGTGTGGTTCTCGAGGGGGGATGGGGCGGTCCCAAGGAAAGCCATTTGGCCTCTTGCGGGCCAGCCGATCCCGATCGATCCATCGGGGTCGGTCGGCGCCTGCCGCCCGATCGATCGCGGTGGCAGGGCGCATCGCGCATCGGCCAGCCCCCGAGGCCGGGCTCACGCGCGCCGCGCGCCATCCTCTGCGGCAGGGGGCCACCCGTGCCTCCCTGCCCCCTGCCGCAGGCCGCGGCGCTCGCGGCCGCGCTGCGGCCCACCGGCGGGACGCCGCCACATCGCCGAGGAGGAGGCCCAGAGGGCGCCGCACACCGCCGTGAGCGGCAGCAGAGAGCCCAGGACAGGCTCCTGCTCCGCCTGCGGGCGGCGGCTGAGCGCATGGCCGCCCATCACTCTGCCCAGCCAGCGATGGCACGAGATGGGAAGGGCAGAGGCAGCGGTGGCCGAGGCGGCAAGGGCCACGCCCAGGAAGGAGCATCGCCGCCAGCAGCGCCCCCGTGGCGCCAGGAGAGGTGGCAGGGCGCTGGATGGCAAGAACAGCAGTGGAACGCGGAGCCAGCGGGCGAGGACCCGCCCTGGCGCAGAACGCTCTCACGGCCGCGGCGCTCTGGCCAGGCCAGCCCTCGCCAATGGCAGCCGCAGCAGCAGCAGCAGCAGCAGCCCAGCCAGCCCCCATGGCAGCATCAGCAGCAGCAGCAGCAGCAGCAGCAGCAGCAGCTGCAGCAGCAGCCCAGGGCGGGCAAAGGCGGCCAGGCCAGTTCCAGCAAAGCGGACCAAAGGGCTCAAAAAGTCATTGACTCCGTGGCAGCCTGCACGCTGGACGAGGCGACCTCCCACCCAAAGTGGCAGGCGCCCCCAGCTGACCGTGCAGGCATCCAGAAGTTCCTGAGCAGTGCTGACCAGAGGCTGAGGAAACTCGGCGACCTGGTCGTCGCCAAGCAGGCCGCGGGCGACAGCACGAAGGAGCAGCTGATGGAAATCTCGGTCATCAAATACCAGAAGCTGGTCACGAGGAGGCCGAATGACCAGCTGCAGGTGCTCAGCAAGAGGCGCAAGGCCGTCAAACTTGAAGTCATCGCCCTCGAGGCCAAGACGAACGAGCTGCGGGGCGACCTCAAGACCAAGCAGCAGGAGTTGAGGCAGCTCGAGTCCAACGTCGCCGACGTGCGGGCCGTGCTCGCCGACGGCGGCGCGGCGGACGACGAGGGCGACTGGGGCGCGGACGGGTTCGGCTTGGCACCGAGCTGGGATGCCTTCCACAAGGCCGTGATCGACAGGCGCCTGCACAGCGAAGCATCTGGTGACGGATTCCCAGCTTGGCCAGCGGGAGTGGTGGGGCGATCGCCACGCTCAAGAGCCAGCTCGGCAGGCAGCGCAACCAGAGGCTTCGCAGATCAGGTGGCCAAGGCGAATGCGAAGCGGGCCCACCAGCAGCAGCGCCATGCCGAAGCCGAGCAAGAGTTTGCTGCCGAGCTGGCGGAAGTCAGGAGGGTCGCCCGAGAACAAGCACTCCGCCACAACGGCGAGCAGGCGAAACTCAGGCTGGCACTCAAGGAGGAGTCAGAGCAGCTGCGGCGCATCACCGCAGCGGAGAGCGCAGCCCAGCAGCAGCAGCAGCAGCAACGCAAGGCCCTCCGCCATGAGATCAAGAAGCAACAAGCCGAGCAGCTCGAGTTCGCGACGCAGATGGAGGACAGGATAATCAGCCATGACACAGCCTTCAGTCAAGCCAAGGCAGAGGCCGAAGCTGCGACCCACCGGGCAAATCACCTGCATGAGCAGCTTGAGCAAGTTCGAGCGGAGCACCGGGAGAAGCCGCAACCCCAGGACAGGGTCTACCAAGACCTGCTGCGGGCAAGAGCCGAGGCGCAAGAGGCACTGCGACGGGCCCAGCACGAGAGCGCCCAAGCGACAGCTACAGCGGGCACTCTCAAGCAGCAGCTCGCCAGGCAGGAGCTGGTCATGGAAGAGAAGTTCCAGGAGGCCAAAAAGAACCACGCCCTCGAGCTTGAAGCTGCCGCCGAATCAGCCAGGGTCCAGGCAATCGCCCAGGCCCAAGTGGTTGCCAATGCCAAGGGAAAAGGGGCCCTCCCGCCGGCAGAGGCGGCCAGGCTGCAAGGGATCGTCCAGACAGCAGCACGGCAGCAGGAGCGGCTCAAGCAGACCAAAAGCGAGCTCGAGGCAGCTGAAGCCCGCATGCACGAGCTCCAGCAGTACTCCAAGCTTGAGGCGAGGCAATGCGGGCAGAGCTCGAAGGCAGTGCTGCGCGAATAAGGTCGAGTCTCACCCGCCAAGTCATGATAGAAGAGGCGAACGCACGTGACTTGCAGCTGCACGCAGAGAGCCTGCGACAGGAACTGAGCAGCTACGCGGTGCAGCTGAGCGAGCAAAGGTCCAACGCAGAGGTGCAGGAGCAGGCGCTGGAGGAGGAGCTCGCCCAAGCCCTCACCTTCAGGATCGCCAGCATGGAGGAGGCCTCCGCCATGGAAGACTTCGCCAGCCAGCAGAGGACGGGCAGGGAGGAGGCCATTCACCTCGCGCTGCAAGAAAGCCTCCAGCGCTCCAGCACGCTGCACACCGAGCTAGACGCCATCGCAAAGAAGGAGCAGCAGGGCGCGTCGGAGACAGAGGAGCTAAAGCTGAGGATGCAGAGCCTGGAAGCCATTGCAGCCAGCAGGGACCGTGAACGCAAGGCCATGGTCAACCTGTACGCCGAGATGAGGCAATACGGGCAGGAGGGCTACGACTTCACCAAGAGGGCAGCTCATCACCTCGTCCAAGGGGGCCACCTCCCAACGTCCCAAGAGTCCATGGACGACTACCAGGAGGCCGCTGACCTGTACGAGGAAGCCAGAGGAGCAGCCGAGGCAGCGACCGCAACAGCGGAGCCCCCCGTTGCGACCAATCTCCAAACTGGTGCAGCCGAGGAGCGCCCAGCCAACAGGGGCCGCAGGCAGAGCAGCTCCTCGCCTCGGAGGCCAGCATCAACCAGGTCAGCCAGGTCAGCAGCCCGCCAGACCGACGAAGGCGATGCCCCCCCTCATAGAGCGTGGCAGGTCCAGGAGCCCCGACAGGCCAGACCCGCACGAGGAGGCAGAAAGATACGAGCGCGAACAAGATGAGTTGCGCAGACAAGCTGCTGAGGAGAAAGCACAATGGGAAGCCGTACAGATGGAGGAGGAGCTGGAGTCCGTAGTGAGGGACCACGAGGCGAAGGAGATCCAAAGGCGCTACTACGAGGAGGCCCCCTTGACCCAGTTCGGCACAGCAGGCGCGCAGGACTCTCGAGCGGAGGACGACGGCTCGGAGCGCGCGCCGATGATCTACCCCGCCAGGTGGCCGCCCTGGAGCCAGGATCACCCCACACCCGAGGAGGGTGAGGAGATGAGGGGGACCACGCAGCACGAGGCAGACACAGACCTGGCATCCACGTCAAGGGCTAGCTCGGTACCAGCAGAGCAAGGCGACCCTCCTACCCCGACAGCATCTCAGGTAATCTTCATCCCAGCATCGCCAGCGCCACTCAGCGAGAGGTCACTCACGCCCACAGTTCCATTCGGGCATGATGAGCAGCGTGGCCATGGAGGTGGAGAGGGAGCCGACAGCTTCGTATTGACCCCTCCCCCTGCGTCCCAGCAGAACGCGGAGGCGGCAGCGGCCAGCATCGAGAGGCAGTACGAGGGCATCGACATCATGACGCGCCAGCACACCTCAGCCGCCGCCGCAGCTGCAGCCCTCGAAGAGGCGTTTGGACCCGCGCCCGCATTTCCAGGAGAAGACATCAGCCAGGCCCACAAGGGTCAGCGGGTAGACTCTGGAGAGTCAGGCATAGCACGTTTTCGTGGCCGAGTGGCCCGCAGGAGGGACGAGACAAGGGGCACAGCAACCCCCTCCCCTCCTGCAACTCCTGGAGCCGAGGAGCAGGCAGCAGCAGCGCCCGCTGAATCCCCCCGAGGGGGGGAGGGGGCCTAGCAGCGCCGCCAGGCTTCAGGCCATGCATGACAGAATTCACTGCCAGGAGGCGGCCGATGAGTCCAACAGGGCAGAGCACGACGGATGTGGGATTTCGTCACGCTCTCCGATCAGTTCGACAGCATCGATCTCCTGGGCAGCATCGGGGAGAGCAGCTGGGGCCCAAAGCCCGCAGCACGGCAGTGGGGTCCTCCACTACGATGCTCGACCTACCCACCACCAGAGGCTTGAAAGCACGGCGGGCCCTGGGGGTAATTGCGACAGCCGTCTTGTAACAAATAGACCAGCGGAGATTCCGACAATCTCACGCACCAGATCAGGTACCCCCAGGAGTCCAGGGCCCCGAGGGGCCACGACTCCAAGCAGATGTGCTACCGCAACGGGCATTGGCAGTGGGAGGGCCACTCCCAATCGCAGCAGCCAGCATCAACAGCGGTATCAGTCACTTGGGTCTCGAGGGGCCAACGTGACACCACCGCGGCCGACGCGAGGGCCGCCCGCCGCGTCCCGAGGGGCGCTAGGCGGCAACCAAGGAGGCACACTACCAGGGATGAGTGATGCATCCGCCAAACCGTCAGCACTCCAGGTCACAAGCCACCAAGATGGCTGCAAGGATGCGCTACTGGCTGCCCTTGCACTCAGTG